TCCATTACCTTTCATCAATGTTCCGCGGTTTTTGGCTTTGTTCGCACGTACTCCATTCTCCTGCTTTCGCTTGTACCATTTCTTGGCACGATCTTGGTATTCGTTCGATACCATGAGATCGCCAACGAAATAAATCTGGTTACGTTCAACCTTCGCCTTCTGATTTGTTTGGTACGCGTTTCCTTGTAGTGGCGTTCATAGTCAATCTCGACTCGACACCACTCTACAGTATCTCGACGTAAACCAGATTCTCTCTTAAAGGTAGCATGAATAAAGAACGATTTTTACATGTCTCATTAATTTACTAGCAGCATATGAGCTCTTAAAAACCAAAAGTTACATAAAGATGCAGCCTACATTAATTTCAGCTAAGCTTTTAACAAAGATTCCCACAACCGACTGTTATATAAGTTAAGTAACATCGGGGTTGAAGGCCATTTATTAATTTGGACAAAAAACGTCCTAGTTGGGCATCAATAAAATGTACAGGTGAACCTCAAGTTACCTAACTGGGAGATTGTACTTAGCAGCGTGCATTACGGTACAGTTTTAGGGCCAGTGTTGTTCCCCTTGTATGTAAATGGCCTTCCAAGTCTTCGGTCATCATCGGTCTTACTATATGCTATATGCTGATATGGGGGGTAACAGAAAGTAGACGTGATAATTTCTTCAGGTTATTTTGAAGCTCTAAGCTATTTGAATGGTCTAAAAATCGGCAGTTGCCGATAAATACTTTCAAGTGTATTGTGACTTATATTGGTCATCAGGGTACAGATACATACATGATGAATAACGTTGAGCTACCTGTTGTCCAGACACACAATGACTTGATGGTCATCGTTATCCAAGACCTAAAAACTGCTGCACACCTCAGTGCGATAGCCACCAACGGTTATGGAACCCTATGGTTAATACGTAGGGCCTTTAGCCATGTCCATGCCAAAACTTCCTTGACTTTGTATGCGGTATTTGTGAGTCCTTAACTCGAGCACTACATACAAGCGGCTAGCCTTTGCTTAAAAAGACAGTGAGCCTCTGGGAAATGTTCAGAGGACAGCAGTTAAGTTGATTCCCGGTATAGTGAAACTCAAGGATGATGCTCGACTGGCTAAACTAGACCTATTTCCATTGTCACATCGAAGAACCAGAGGTGATTTGACCATAGTTTTCAGATTACTTAGTGACAAATTTGCATCTGATATTCCCTCATTTTTCTTGTCTTTCAAAAAATAAAACTTACGAGGATACTTCAAAGACGTTCACAAGCCTAAGACAAATAACTTGTCAACTGACTATCGACTTTCCCATCGAACCATCGACGAATGGAGTTCATTACCCTAACACGCAATTGAAGCCCCATCTGTCGACGCTTCCAAAAACGTTTGATCAAGCGAGAGGTCACCATCACCAGGACTAACACAGGCCACCTAGCTTCCTGTCCCTTCTAAAATGAAACTGATTGTTGTAAGTTGCTAAAAATTCCCAATAAGCTAAAAATTCGGCAAGTCACAATCATGAATTCCCGTATAAAGTGAGGTTAATGAGGCTGTACTGCTATACTATAGCGAAATAAAGCATATAGCAGAAAATATTAAATTGTACAATAGTTGAGTTAGTTATTTAACACCTCCGCCACACGTCTTTCTTCTGTGTTGGTAGGTGTACATTTCCCAACGTAAGTATGAGTTTCTGAACTTTCCATTCATACAATCAGTTAGCCGTCTTTCCTAAATACTAAGTAATGGTGCTATTCAATGAAAAGAAAGTTTTTTTCATGGAATTAGAACTCTGATTTCACTTGAGTGATTTAATATGCCTTGTGTTGTGTTCGTACCCAGTCTATAGACTATTTTAGGAAGAAAATTGGTCGATGACTTACTTTTCTGAAAGTCCAAAGTTGATGAGTACTGGGGTCTCTCTGCTTTGGCTCTACTGGACTATAATTGATGAACTAACCAAGCAGATAACAGAAAGCAACTCTTGAAATTTGCCACAATTTATTCATCTATATGGCTGTATATTTTGACGTTGTAGCTCACAAACTTCGTGGTGCCAAAGTCGGCTTTATTTTGCAGTTTTAATCCTTAAACTCTTGATCTTACATCATTCTTTAGTAATCAGGATCAGTGGACTATCGACCTACATTAATCATTGCAGTTTGTAACACTGGAGGTACAATCTCGTTTTGAATATATCAACAGAAGGTGCTGACATTACGTATTCTGGTAGAGAATTCCAGTAATCCAGTACTCGGTGCGAGAGACGAAACTCCAGACGTAGACGATTTGATCTCGGTTTTTGAACTTTCCTTGAATGTCCTCTCAAATGACCAGTTCTAGACGGAACTAAAAGATAAGACAAATCAATACCAAGGTTATCGTTCAGTATACGATAAGCCAATATTAGATCATCCCGTATTCTACGGTAAGATAACGGAAATAAGTTAAGGTGTCTCAGCCTGTCTTCATAAGATAGGCCAGAAAAACCTTTTACCATCTTAGTACCTCGTCATTGGACTCTTTCCAGCATATCTGCTCCATACTTGAAACAAGGACTCGCTGCTTGAATCCCATATTCTAAATGTGGTCTCACGTAAATCGGGTATAAAAAATTCAAACATTTCGTCATCTAAATACTGGAAAGACCTACAAATAGACCATCATGCCCTATAGCTTTTCGCAACATCAGCCCTACAGTGACTATTAGTTTTAAGATCACTGCTTAATGTGACTCTTAAATCTATAGTTTCTTACTTTGTGTGCACGGATCCACATATTGTGTAGTGATACGATTCATCATGGTTATTTAATTGCATCATCACACTCTTATTAGGATTCACTTCTAGTGACCACCTGTCCAACCATACCACCAATGAGCTAAGGTCATCCTGTAATACTATTCTACCCGATATACTGTATATTGGTCTCCAAATTTTTATGCCATCGGCGAAAAGTAGAACGGATGATTTTGCTACAGTTTGTAATTCATTTACATAAAGGGAAAAGAGAGGAAGACCGAGGATTGTACCTTGGGGAACTCCACTTTTTACAGGTACCCACAATGAGAGGGCCCCATTAACCCTTACCTTTTGTCCTCTGTCATGGAGAAAGTCGCTCATCCAGTCTATGACCTTATAATGGATTTCAAAACTTTCCAGTTCTAATTTAAGACCAGAATGGGAGACCTTATCGAAGGCCTTACTTAGAACTATGAAAATCACATCTACATTAATATCCTGATATTTAGCCGCAGCCCAGTCTTCTCTTGCAATGAAAAGATGTGTCAAACATGATAGGCCTACCCGAAAACCATATTGCTCTCTGGAGAAAAGATTATGCCCTTGCACATAATTTATAACAGATATACTGAAATGACTTGCGAATAGCCATAAGACACTGAAGCCCGTGGCAATGGCAGTCTTGCAGTTACTCGTAGTTTTGTGGTTGTTTATTATGAATCCCAAATTTTTATAGTCCATTACTCAGGGTAACACAACTTCACGTATTGTGTAGTAATACGAGTCGTGGCAGTCATTTAATTGCGTTACCACACTCTCGTTAGAGTTGACTTCTAACGACCTATCTATTCATTTAACCATTGAATTTAGATTATTTATTTATTTTATTTATTTATTTATTTATTTGAACACATAAATATTGGTACAAGAGAGCGCCAATATGTATGCGCCTGCACTATAATTCTATCTGATATATTGTGTTTGGGTCTCCAAATATTTGTCATCTGCAAAGAGTAAGACTAGTAAATTTACTACAGTTTTTAAGTCGCAAGTGGTTGAGGCATCTGAAGACCACTTGGATATCTCTCGGAAATTGTTCATATATAATAGTCTTTGCTGTGCTGATATGAATACAGTGGTCTTGAGTGCTGTTAGAGGTATGAGGGCGGTTATCACTTCCCGGCTGACAACACCGTGGAAGGATTCTTCTGAAGGTACCTGAAAAGGAAAGCGTGACCGCAGTGCCCAAGGGACAGCTGCTTGAGGTCGGTCACACACGACATTTTTGTGAGTAGTTTTTCGTGTTAGCTCTGTACTTGTTGAGACCTTACCGCCGGAGACGGATATCTGTGGGATAAGGCGAGGTGTGTGTTTTTAGCGTCGAGGTTTTTTAACCCCACCCTTCTTTGCGGGAAGGCAGCAACACTGTTATACTGGTTGTCTGAAGGAAACACCGTACTGCCGTCGCATCTCTGTACAGTGAGCAGTACAACTTGGCCTTCGAACCTTGGGTTTGTTGCTTTTAGTTTTACCGTTCTTCAACAGACCTGTCTGGCATGGTAGGACCTTGAGGAACGATTGTTTCAGCCAGTATAGCTCGGTCGGTTCATCACGATAGGCAAGCCCGACCACCACGTCAAGGTAGCAACAACGGTCGGTCAGAATGGATCACAATCGCTTAGGTGTATACACTCTTTGTCTTCTCTTAAACTATGAGACTAAAATCGCTTCATATATTTCTTTCTACGAACTAATCCTTTCTTTCTGTACTATATCCTTACACAAAATCTTTCCTGTATGTATTACACCATTGAGTTAACTGCTTCTATGAATCTGGTGTATATCTTGCTGTGCTAATGAGGTATGGAAACTTGGACCGATGCATATATGTGCCTGGTCCTACGTTGTAACTGACTGACTGCTGTGTTGATATAGGGTCCTAAAGCTTTATCTGGTGAATCAGTTAGTCAGCTGCAACGTAGGACCAGGTTGACTGACTATATATGCATCGGTCCAAGTTGCCTTACCTCATTAGCACAATAAATTCATGGTAGTCACTTCATTAATAGTAATGTACAATAGAAAGACATAATACAGAATGAATTAGTTCGCGGAAAGAAAGATATAAAGCAGTTCTAATCTCACAGTTTAGAGGAAGACAAAGAGTGTATACACTGACGCCATTGTGATCGATTCTGAGCCATGTCTGGCGAGTCATGCCGTTTTTTAGTGTTCCTTGTATTTCGTGCTTTCTCCAAGGGTTTGGAATTTTAATATGAAGTTTTTTGTTAATCGATTTCTTCAACGTCTGTTGTGTTTTAGGGGTTCTCCATTATTCAGATCAGTTGCTGGATTGACGATTATGCTCAATGCGTCATCAAGACCTTTGAGTTGCTCCATGTTATACACAACTTACTATTAGCCTTTCGGAAGTTTTCAGGGTATGTTCAGCACCTGAATTATCCTAAATATCGATAGAGGCCTTGTGGAACGGCATGCATTGTACAGTCAGTGTGTTTGTTGCTTGAAACATCTGTTATATGCAGCCGGAGTAAGTTCGGTGCTCATGTCATGATACCACTTGTTACAGCTATTGCGCCCGATTCTTGATCGGGAAGAAACGTATAAGAGTGATGTTTTGTCTAGGTCATTTAACTTAATTAGTGGACTCAGTAAAACGTATTCCAAACCCAAGTGTTTTTCAGAACTAATGAAATAGTAAGCACTAAAGATCGAAAAGTTTATATACTAAAACATTACGAGAAAACTTTCCCAAGTGAGTCATCTGATTCAAAAAGTGCAAATCACTCGATAAGTTTTCTCTCCGCTCCCAAAAGGAATACAGTTTTGTGAACTGAGGTAAAACAGATACTTATACAAAACTGATACTTTTATAATATTTTGAATGAAAATGTAAGTCAATTAAAATAAAATCGACTTTTACGCGTTTAAACTTATCAAAGCTATAAGATATACCCAGTAAGCGAAAATGCCACAGGCATTTTTAAACTATTTTAAAGTAGATTTCCATAATACTGTGTATCACTAAATGTTAAATTAAGGACTCCCCTAGAAAAGTAGCAAATCCAGAGTATATGCTGTATGTTATTCTATCTTAAGACCAATATTTTAGTTATCACAAATTACTGCTCATCTGACTCAGTCACATTCATCTTGAATCCTTTCTCGGATGACATATCTTCAAATACTGTACACTGTCTGCTTATATCAAGGGAAAAACGTAATTAAAAACAGCAGCTATTTTACTTACGATGTGGTAAAGCTTATTATCTACTATGTAAGTAATAACGATTCGTTTGAGAGGGTTGGGGTTTGGGGCACCACTCCTCGTATTCGTAAGCGTTGAAAATTAATTACTCGGTTAGAAAACCTATACGTCATAGAAATTTTGTTCGTTCTTGGCTTTTGAACTCATTTGCTACGTATTATGAGTTGTTATAATTGAAAAAAGGAATATATCTGGTTCAAAATCATCCTTAACATCCCATATATCAAACTTGATCACCTTTTGATCTTCAGTAACAGAGTAAAGAGGTTTAATTTCTAGGCCAATTGTGTATGACAAGCCTCAGGATTCGGACATATTTCTCAAAGTTCTTATGTCAAGCAAACCTTCTGAATTCTCCCAAAACATAAAAGTCGATGTGGAAAAACTATCTGATTCGCAGCTTGGTTTCCTAATGCCTGTGGTGGATTTTGTGATGATTGGAAGATACTGATAATTGTGAAACATGTATCCTATTTATCTTCATATATATATCCATAATATATCCCGACCATTGTTGCTACCTTGACGTGGTGGTCGGGCTTGCCTATCGTGATGAAGCAACCGAGCTATACTGGCTGGAACAACCGTTCCTCAAGGTCCTACCATGTCAGACAGGTCGGTTGAAGAGCGGTAAGACTAAAAGCAACAAACCCAAGGTCCGAAGGCGAAGTCGTACTGCTGACTGCACAGAGTGTGACAGCAGTAAGGTGTTTCCTTCAGACAACCAGCATGACAGCGATGCTGCCTTCCCACAAGGAGGGGTGGGGTTAGAAAAGGTTGACCCTAAAAATGCACACCTCACCTTACCTCACGGATTTCCGTCTCCGGCGGTAAGGCCCTTTGAAGCACGGAGCTAACACGTCACAAACCTCTCACGAAAAGGCCGTGCGCGACCGGCCTCAAGCAGTTGTCCCTTGGGCACTGCGGTCACGCTCTCAGGTCACTGAGACCGCCTCTAATCCAATTTCCTTTTCAGGTACCTTCAGAAGAACCCTTCCACGGTGTGGGCAACCGGGAAGTGATAACCGCCCTCATACCTCTAACAGTACCCAAGACCACTGTATTCATAATCGACCTTCCTCTTCAATTGCTATTATTCCTCCTACATCGACTTTCAACCCTAAACTTCCTCCTTCGGCTTCCTCCTCAAGTGTCACCATAGCCAACGATTCTAGTGCTCAAAACCCTGTCCCAGATCTACTGAAACCTCGCTCCAAACTACTACACATTGGAGCCTTCAACGTACGCACCCTATGTCAAATCGGTCAGCAGGCTTCCTTGGCTAAAACCCTAGAGTCTCTTTCCATTGATGTATGCTGTGTCTCCGAAACACGCATACAGGATTCCAGTGTGGTCATTCACTTGACCTCACCTCGGCAAAACGGAGAGCCAACGAGATACACCCTTCGTGTATCTGGTGACCCGATGGCCAGTTCTCGTGGACTGGCAGGTGTAGGCATAGCACTAAGCATGAGGGCGGAACAAGCACTGCTAGAGTGGATCCCCGTCAACAGTCGTCTATGTGCTGTTCGGCTAAACGGCTCCGTAAGAACTCGGAAGGATAGGGACACACGTCGTTGCCTTTTTGTCGTTTCTGCCTACGCTCCCACTGACTGCAGCTCAGATGAAGTGAAAGATGAATTTTACAGAAAGCTGTCCGAACTTCTTCAGAAAGCTAAACGCTCAGACATAGTACTCGTAGGGTGACTTTAATGCTCAGATAGGTAGTTTAAACCAAACAGAAAGGCATTTAGGTGGATATTTTAGTATTCCGGCACAGCGAACAGATAATGGTGATCGTCTGCTGCAACTGTGCTCAGACAATCGTTTATTTTTAGCAAACACAAATTTTAAGCATAAGGAGAGACATCGTCTAACATGGCGACCCCCTACACCAAACCAACGATGGACTCAAATAGACCATATTGCCATCAGTCATCGTTGGAGAGGGTCGGTAGAAGATTGTCGCTCATTCTGGAGTACCTGCTTGGACTCCGACCATGCCCTAATACGGGCACGCATCTGCTTGCGCCTCACTGGACGCAAAAAAGCCACATTAAAAAGACCCATTAGAACTGAGTTGAGTAACGAGAAAACCAAAAGTAGGTTCCAGGAACAACTGAGGTCACACTTAGGTAGTTCTGAAGACGAGGCTGACCCAGATGTTGCTTGGAAGACATACAAGCAGCTGTGGAAACAGCAGTGACATCTATTAGTGACTTAAACCACAGAGTTACAAAGAACCAGTGGATTTCTTCAAGTCTATCACACTGATGGATTCTCGCAAACTCGTCCCATCAGGTTCCGAACATGATGAAGAGCGACAACAAATCAGATCTAGGTTAAGAAAAAGTCTAAGGAACGACCGTGAGCAGTGGTGGGCAACGAAAGCAAAAGAGATGGAAAAGGCGGCGACTATAGGGAACACAAGACAGCTTTACAGACTAATAAAAGAAACTGGAATTAATAAGTCAAGTGTAAGTGAGATTATTTCGGAAAAAGCGATACTCTCATCTGCTCCCAGTCCAGACGTTTAGAACGATGGGCGGAACATTTCAGAGAACAGTTCAGCTGGCCTTCAGCTACTCTACAACTACCCTCCATTCCCAGACAGGTGAATGGAACATTGAAGTAGGTCCCCCAACTCTTGCTGAAGTTGAAAGGCTATAGTTAATCTGAAACGAGGAAGGGCAGCTGGTCCAGATGGATTGGCTCCAGAGGTCTTTAAGGATGGTGGTCCAATTTTAGCGATTAGGTTGACTAATATTTTAGCTAAGATCTGGGAGTTAGACGTTATCCCATCTGACTGGTCGCAATCACTTATCGTCCCAATATATAAGAAAGGGTCAAAATCATCCTGTGACAACCACAGAGGGATTAGTTTAACAAACATAGTATCTAAAATACTGGCCTCGATAATTATCAACGCCTAACTAAGACTCGTGAACTACAAACACGAGAGAACCAAGCTGGCTTTAGACCTGGTCGTGGCTGCATCGACCACATATTCACCATTCGTCAGGTTCTAGAACACAGGCATACTTATCGGCGTCCGACAATGGTGGTCTTTCTTGACTTAAAAGCAGCATTTGACTCTGTAGACCGCGAGATTCTGTGGCAGTGTCTGTCATTGAAAGGCGTACCTCAGAAGTACATAAACCTTGTGAAGGCTCTTTACTCGAACACTACTAGTCGAGTCAGGCTTATGGCGAACTGTCATCTACTTTTGCAACCTCAAGTGGTGTCCGTCAAGGCTGTCCACTTTCCCATTTTTGTTTAACTTCATCATAGACCTACTGATGGAAATAACTTCTCGTCGACTGAATTCTCGGGTATTGATCTCCTCAGGAGGTCCACTTATCGACTTAGAATACGCAGATGACATAGTCCTGTTTGGTGAAGACGCTGACAAAATGCAGAGTCTTCTGGTAGCACTAAGCAACAATGCCAGAATGTTTGGAATGCGCTTCTCTCCCTCTAAATGCAAGTTGTTGCTTCAGGACTGGTCTGCGTCAACACCTGAACTAAGGATAGGGAGTGAAGTAGTCGAACGCGTTGACAACTTCACTTATCTTGGAAGTCTGATCAGCCCTAATGGGTTGGTGTCTGACGAAATCTCAGCACGGATTCGAAAAGCTCGTTTGGCTTTTGCCAACTTACGTCACCTTGGCGAAGGCGAGATATCCGTCTATCAATAAAAGGACGAGTATACTGCGCGGCAGTCCGTTCTGTTTTAATTTACGGCAGCGAAACATGGCCATTAAGAGTAGAAGACACTCGTAAGCTACTAGTATTTGACCACAGATGCCTTAGAAATATTGCTGGCGTCTGCTGGGATCACCGGGTAAGTAATAGTGAGGTTAGACGCAGGGTATTAGGGAATGATGGTAAATCAGTTGATGAGGTTATGAATCTTCATCGACTGAGATGGTTGGGCCACGTGTTACGTATGCCTGAACACCGATTACCACGACGTGCAATGCTACCGGTATTGGAGATGGTTGGAAGAAAGTTAGGGGCGGCCAAACCAAAACGTGGCATCAGTGCTTGAAGTCACTAACTTCTAGTCTGAGCCATGTTGGTAGATGCAGACTACTTGGTTGGGGTCCGCGTGACTTCGTAACCAATGGTTGGAGACTCTTGGTGACATGGCTCAGAATCGATCACAATGGCGTCGGTGTATACACTCCCTGTCTTCCCTTAAACTAAGAGATTAAAATCGCTTCATATCTTTCTTTCTACGAACCAATTCTTTCTTCTTGTACTATATCTCTATATGCAATCTTCCTCTTATTTATTACCACCTTTGACCTAACCACTGCTATGAATCCGGTGTTCATCTTGTTGTGCTGATGCGGTATGGCAACCTGGACCGATGCACATATGTGCCTGGTCCTATGTTGTAGCTGACTGACTCATATATATATTGATTTAACACGTTTAGAATAGTGCGATGCTCTCAAATGCCCTGGTACGGCCGAGGGTGGGGAGAGTTCACCCTTCCTCTCGAAATACTCTTATATGACCACGCGCACACAGCCACTGTCAGGGCAGTTCTACACACTATCTTTTCGCGGTGGGGTTGTTGTTTACGAAATTGAGGGGATGAAAAGCGAATATCCGACGCTTTAACCGGGTTCGTGGATATGGAGGGTTCACTTAGAGAAGTTGGAAAACCCTGAATCCAAACCAATAGCGCACATGGACTCCAGTATCCTGAAGGAGCAAATGGTGTACGAACCAATTGTTAGTCACTGGATACCATGGGACTGTGTCTCCTAACGTTGCCTCACTGCCTTGTGGGTCTGATCTTTAGGTTGAAGGTTCTGGATGTATTTATTTATTTATTTCAACACACAAATATTAGTAGAAGAGGGCACCAAATATATATGCGCCACACCATATTTGTGTGTGTGTGGGCTGTGATACTGCTCGGGTGCCCAAACCGAAGCAGGTGGTTTCTTAGGGGGCCACACTGAGCCTTTGACCTAAAGGTCTGATCCACAAAGCAGTGGAGCATCGTGAGGAGATGCATTCCCATGGCAGCCGTTGACCAACGATTGGTTCATACGCCATTTGTTCCCGCAGGATACTGGAGCCCATGTGCACCATTGGTTTGGGATCCGGTTAAAGCGCCGGACATTCGCTTTTCGTCTTCTCATTTTCGTAAACAACACCCCCACCGCGAGAAGGCAATGAGTAGGACTTCCCTGGCAGAGGTTGTATACGCGTGGCCGTGTGAGAGTATTTCGAGAGGGAGAGCGGACTCTCCCCACTCTCGGTCATACCAGGGCATTTGGGGGCATGATCTTACCTAAAAGTTCATGGTACGCTCAAAGTTTGTATTGTATGGTGTTTTTCAGGATTGTTATGTTATTGGCTCACCAACCTTTCTACCAATTCATTTTGATGATCAGCATGTAAGCGTGTCTTCAATTTACTCCGAGATAGCGTTATAAGTGTGCTCACTTTATATTCAATTACTATACATGAAACATTTTAACGATGGTTTTCTAAAGTATATAAGAACTTTCGTCCAAATTCAATGTAATAGTTTCACCGTATTTGGGCTCCGAGTTGATATGAGACATTAAGGAGAGAAAATGTATTTCTAAAATCTCGAATTCATTTGCTGAGATTTTACAAATACATCCTTCCTCCTTAAGGTTCTCTAAAGTGTTTATGTTGGTAGGATAGTTGTTGGGACCCGAGAAACATAATGAGTGGTAAATTTGGGATGCTTTATGGACCAATACTAACCTTATATTTCTATTGTATAATTATTAAATAACTAAGCTATTTATATTCATGTTCCTCTTACTATAAGCTTTATTTTGACCTATGATTCATTAATATGCATTTTACTTTTCTTGAGTATATTGTTTCCCAGTATATTAATTACTACCTCCCTCATTCACAGCTACATCTGGCTAATCCTTGTACAAATGTTGTTTCATATTTCATTGGTACGTTGTGGTCGGTTTGATTGGTATATAAACTCACTATGCTTGAAATATAATGATTCCTATCTCAGAGGCTGGGACTTGCGTTCTGGACTTAACTGGCTGAGCTAGGCGGAAAGCAGGACCAACTAGAACTCTAGGCTGTTCTCACTTGTTTTACACGTCTTTTCACTGCTCTCTAATCTGCAGTCACAAGTTATAACAGTAGTTTATTTAGTTTTTTTGTATGTATGTTTTGATTTTAACCACAATTTTTAATTATACAGGTACAGAAGACAATGCAGTCGATAAAAAGAGTAAGACCATTTTTGGATTAAAATTTCAGATTTCTAATTTCAGAGTACTCTATTAACCGGATTGCCAGTTTCAAAAAATCCTCATATTGTAAATGCCTTGAGAATTTAACAAGTCTCCCAATTTTAGATTCTAACATCACTTTACAAGCGTATAATCAAAGTGCTTGCTCTAATGCCTGAAGAATCCAGTTATCGTAGACACACAAACGAAATAGTACAGTCCAGACTGAACGCTGTACAAAAAGTGACTTATTTAGTTGATGTTAATGCTTTCTGTTCTTAATAAAAGATTTCGGATATTCCCACTCTTGAATCTACCATTGATTGTGGTCAAATTGAAGAAGTTATCGTACAGGTAGGTATCGTTTAATGCTTCATTACTTTCACGATTAGCATTTGTACGTTTTGTATGTCGACCGTATACGCTTATTGGTGTAGTGATACTAACGAATAATTCAATTGGCTTCCAGTAACCTCTCAGTTACCCACTATCTCCGAACAACTTTATTAAGAAATTAACACAAGTTCCCAACTCTTAGTTGTGTTGAAAAGGCTGTAACTAATCTAAAATGAGGTAGACAAGCATCGCATAATGTATTAAATCCTTAAATGTTTGAGGATGATGGTTCATTTTTGGCTGTTACATTGACTGAGATATTAGCTGGAATCGGACGTAAACCCATCTGATTAGAGTCCATCTCTAACCGTTTCAGTTCGCAAGAAAGGAAAATAATTCTTGTGTGTCAGGCACAGAGGTATCAGTTTGGCTGAAATAGTGTTTGAAATATTGACCTCAATAACCGTCTGACATTTAACTGGGTTTCGTGAACAGTAAACCCAGGAAAACCTTATTGATTTCAAATGTGGTTGAAAATGTGTAGATCAAATATTTACCCTTTGTTGGGGGCGATAGATCCACAAAACTCATATCTTGTAATTTTATCTTATCGATTAACTTATCGATCAAATGTTTGAATATTTGAATAGCAGTCAATTGATAAACCTATTGATTAAATGCTTAAAAATATCGATTATATATATTTGTATGAATACGCTTGATTTGTGTGCTTGACCTGGTGTTTTCTGGTTGCCTGTAGAATACAATTTCTGCGCCTTAACAAGACTTCTTGATCGCGTTAGCTGAGTCGGGGACAACGGACCAGAATAGCCTATCGAGATTCTGAATTCCTTGATCTGATCGATAAGTCACTGCCCTCTAATCGGCGGCCTTTGAGATATAACACCCTTCGCCAGGCAAACCTACCAATGCTAGACTATAATGGTATTTCTTGGCATTAGGGCAGCGTTCGACTCTGTTGATCGAGATTTTCTGTGGTAGGGTCTTTCATTAAAATATATACTAAGGAAGTTCGTAGTATATATATATATATATATATATATATATATATATATACCCAGTGTGTAATTCTGAGGTTAAGCATATGGTGCTATATAAAGGTAGCCAGTCAGTTAATACTGTAGTAAATCTTCATCAACTGAAGTGTTTGTGATATGTATTACATTCTCCCAACCATTCTCTACCTCGACCTGCACCTCCAGACAGACCCCTTGCAAATCAACAAGATCCCTACAACTGATCCACTACCTTCTTATCCCAAGCGTCAACGGCAGCAGAGAGAGCGCTAACCGGTCATCCGCGTAGCTCCATCTAGATTATCAGAGCCACGCTTTCACTGGCAACAATGTCCGCCAGCCTCTAGTCCTTGTCGGCTTTACCAAACCGACCGAACCTCTCAAAGACCCACATTAAGCCGGTGGATCGATCCAGTTACGGCAGGTACCTCTCGAGTGCATGTGTTACTATGAGGTTAACTTCACGCGCCTAAGTGGACGGGATAAAACCAACGTAAGCTAAGCCTCTCCATCACACTAATCTTGAATGGCTGATGCAGATGGGTAGAAGTCGGATGTGGTTGAGCGCAACCATACATATCGCTATGACGAGCACCTTATCGGACGCAGAACGGTCTCGACTCTACTCCGCACGTATATTCGTGTCACATGGGACGGGTACTCTAACGAAGTCCGTAGCTACTCAATCAAATACCAGACATCCATAACTTAAAACGCCCCATAGGCATCGTAACATATCAATGAACCGATAATGGTCTGTTCTCATAGCCAAGACGCAGCCTTCTTTCTCACTCCCATTCCTAGCAATACACCCTCAGAACGCCTATCTAGTATGCCACATATCGTTATTACAATGGGTAGGTGACACACCACGCTCGTACTCAGAAGGAAGATCTTACGAAACTTTGCATTCAACTCTCTTGTGTCATACTTTCATGTTTTAACATTCCACGATGTTCTCAGCCGATCATAACTACATACAATGCGACATATTTCATCTCATTTACACATAGGTTTTCCCATTGCGTATGGGAGGTTCTCGGGTCACCGAAAACGCTGAACGTCTCAACGAATCTTCCAACTTCTCAATCACTCAATTATGCCTAGCGATACGCAATCGCTGGGCATCCTTACAGTTTTAGAGGATATGTGTCGAGGATCCTACTTTATTACACCGACCTTTGCACCTCAGATTACCAGGATCTCTACCAATTCTACATCCTCTTACCTTAGTACTTAGGGTATGACCTCTTAGTTGAATAGTTTTCCTATACATCCAGGGAAACATCTACGTGGCCCATAAGGCAATGATGTACTCTGACTTGAGACTTGAAGACGTCTACCCTTTTGAGTTCCATATAATCGCGTTTTCAACGCTGCAAACATGTCATCTGTGTTTGATACCAACATGTCGCCAAGAGTCACAACACCGATAATTTTTTTTCAATCTGTTTATAGGCCTTTGATTACCAGATGGCATGCAGTAACTCACAGCTTCATAAATACAAGTTGAATCGTTAAGAATGTCGGATTGGTACCGTAGTGTATAGAGGTTCGACCCCGATTCTGCCATCACTAACTCGAGCATGAAAATAGCTTTTAACTGTATCGTGGGGTAACTTCAGTCACTGTCTCACTCGCTTGTAGACTTAAATATCCACCTTTTCAAGATCTGCTTTACCTGCTAAACCTATTTGTACCATGTAACGTAACTTAAGTATTGCATACTACTTTAGTACCAACATCCGTTGGATCGCTGGCAATGGAGAGTCCGCGATCTCCAATAACATATCCTGTTTCATAATAAGTATTGGTTGGTGCACAATCCTACGGTAGTCAAAACATATACCCAGATACTTGAATTGGTATATATATATATATATATATATATATATATATATATATAATTTCACGTATTGATAGAGATTTCGATAGACAGAATTATCTAATATCCAAATAATCGTGTATCAATAGATTCACAAGGTAATTTGCCCATAACTTTTCTTTTCTACACTCTGTGTTGTTAATTTTTTTCTTGACATGTTAATATAGGCCCAAAGAGAATACGATTTAGCTCGTAATATGCTCAAATGGAAGCCTTGGGAACCGCTCATTGAAGAAGCTCCTCGCGATCAGTGGAAATGGCCACTTTAAATAACCTTATTTAATATTTTAGTATACAAAGTACAATGTATTGTAGATATACATTTTATTGTACTACATATTAATTTTTCTTTTCTTCATCTCAGTGGGCAACATTGCTATGTTTTCAGCGATTACGAGTTCACCTAGTCTGCGAACGGAACAAACACTCTTTGACCAAAAACCAATGAGCTAGCTATTCTGATGCGTCCCAGCCCCGCTAACTAGAGAGAGAAGCCCATGTTCGAGACGGGGAAATATATTCCGCAAGCAGCCAGAAGCACGAGCAATAACAACAGGCACAAGTTAAACATATATATACAGCATAAAATTATCATCAGGAAGCGTTACAAAATAGCATACTAAAAGATATAACGAACCAATAGCGTTTAAGATTCGCCCAAGTGGGAAATATGACACGAAGGTGGAAATGAGCGCTTTTGGCTAGGAAACAAGAAATTCTATTTTTAAAATAAATAAGGTATTTTCCAATTGAGTTCTGGGGATCTAACATCCTCAACACCCCTTTCTAATAACGTTCGTTCCTGGGGTCCACTTGCGTCTTGAACATCTGTTGCCGTTGTCGGAGTGACCTCCATCTGGATCGTACGTCGACCTGTCAATGTCATCGAGATAAGTTGTCACCCCCGGAATACCCGATAGGATGGTATCCATTAGTTGCTGGAAAATAGATGAAACGGTCTTAACTCCAAACGGTAGGCGATTATACTGAAACAAGCCACTATGAGCATTAATAGTAAGTAGCTCTTTCGATTCTTCAGCCACTTCCATTTGTAAATTGGTATCAACAAGATCCAGCTTTGCAAAGAACTTTCCGCCATTTAGCATAGTAAACAAGTCTGCAGGGTCTAGCAGTGGGTAATGATGCTGCTTGAGAGCTGCGTTAAGACCTGTGGAAAAATCTGCGCATATTCGGGTTGTGCCATTAGCCTTCTTAATAACTAGAATGGATGCTGCCCAAACATAATATGTAACATGTGTGATAACTCCCTGTAGTTGAAGACGATCAAGTTCTTAATCAACTTTTGATAATGCTGAGTATGGCACTGTGTTTTTTGGACGGAAAGCAGGTTTAGCTCAAGGTTTCAACCGAAGTGTTGCTTTCATAGCAGAGCACCGAACCAAAAACAGGCTGGGAAATGGTCGAAAACTCCGTCATTAGTTTCTTCGAATATGCTCCAGGTTCATGCGGTTGTTTCACCAAATGGCATACGGTGCTTAACGGAATGTCAGCTAAATGCAGCTGGTCAAATCAATCTAAACCAAGTAAATTAAGATCAGCTGGTGCTATGTAACATACCCCGGTGAACGTTGAACCGCGAGAAGACACTTTACAATCTAGATGTCCCAACAAACGTAGGGGATTACCGCATACAGTATGAGGTTTTGTATTGTTGGCAGCGCGTGTGGTCTGCCCATTTTGATCCAAGATTTTCGTGAGAGAATCGGCACGTCAGATGCAGTGCCTATCCGCAATCTAAGCGGATGCTCGTTAATATTAAGGGTAATAAATTCCCTCTAACCTGGGGTTGAGCTCTGATAGGTTGCTACTAGACTCAATAAATTTGTGTTGCAGGATCTAGGAACAGCCTTTCTGGAGATATTCGGCCTTCATTTTGACATGATCCATCTTTATGGATGCAACGATGTTGTTTACAAGAGGAGCTTCGATGGGGATGTTAGATCCCCTGAACTCAATTGGAAAATACCTTATTTATTTTAAAAATAGAATTTCTTGTTTCCTAGCCAAAAGCGCTCATTTCCACCTTCGTGTCATATTTCCCACTTGGGCGAATCTTAAACGCTATTGGTTCGTTATATCTTTTAGTATGCTATTTTGTAACGCTTCCTGATGATAATTTTATGCCCAGGTTATTTCAAACCACAAATTTCTTTCCGCCGTACAGTTTCCATCAGAGAGTACTCCCACCCTTTCCTCCTGGGTAAACTCCCCAATCAACTTCACTAGCTCATTTGATACATCTCCCAATAAGTCTAGCTATCAAAATACCGAGCTAATGAAGAACATCCAATCCCTCACATCAAACTCATCTCATACGCGCGAGGGTTACGACAATTTTATCCGAGATACCCTCACCCATTTTAACTTAGTAGGCCACCTGCTTAATATATGTCTTATCAACGCTCGATCGATCTGCAACAAAAAGACGGATTTAGCCCTGTTTGTATCCATATATCAACCATCAGTTATTATGATATCTGAAGCATGGACTAACAGTAATATTTCCGACCGAAGTATATCTCTTGATAACTATTCCCTATATAGAAGCGATAGATTGAATGGACGAGGCGGAGGATGCCTTATTTACGCTCACTCTAGCCTAAACTCACTGCTATGTGATATGCCTGAACTAAACAAACTGAAGGATTCGGTGTGGATTGTATTAAAGCCGTCGAATTCCGTTACCTTACTGCTCGGCTGTGTTTATCGTCAACCTAACGCATCAATAGATGAAATAGCAGTATTATCGGAGGTATTCACACTAGCATCATCCCTCTCATTCACAGGCAAGCTCATTTGTGGTGACTTCAATATGCCCGAAATTTCTTGGCTGCCAGTCAAAGCGCCGAGACGTTATGAATCATTTATTGAATGTCTAGAGCTTGGACAATGGACTCAGTATGTCGATAGCCCTACCAGACATCAAAACATCTTAGACTTAGTCTTTACCAGTGGCCTCATCCCCAATACTTTGTATATTGGAAAAAAGTTCCCAGGTAGTGATCACAACATTGTCATATGCAGCCTTAATGTAAAAACCACAACCGATAGAAGTAAAACCGTAACACTTCGTAGAAACTATCGCAAGGTTGATTGGAATAACTTCCACAATTACTTAAGAAGCACTGATTGGAGAACTTTCTTTACCTCAAACAATACCGACACATTAACCAATATATTTTATCACAACATCAAAAGTATCATCAACAACATCGCACCTTTAGAATACTGTAAACCTACGTTCTCCAAAGATCTCTATATACCGGTCAGTACAAGAAGACGTCTTCAAAGACATTGTACTCGATTCCACAACTTAAATGACTTTTCCTCTTTAGTAACGATGACAGAAATACTTGTCCGAACAGAGGCAATAAGTAAACAAAAAGCAGTAGCACAGGAAAAACGTGCAGTTGAACTTAATAATAACTCCTCTGCACTCACCATACTACTCCAAAATAAACTTAAACGCTCTAAATCGAGAGGGAGTATATTCATTAAAGGCAAACAAGTATACGAAGATCCCAAACTTATCACAGAATTATTTAGTGAACATTTTTGTTTCTCACTAACTAACGAAAAACCATTTAATGATTCAGAACCAATCCCAGTAACTCCCTGTGAAATTACTAATGTAGAATTCAGTGTACAAAATATCTCCAAGGCAATCAGTACATTGAAACACTCCTACACTGATGGACCAGATGGTATTCCATCTAGCATGCTAAAACGTGGAGGTGATGATATGTGTGTTTTGCTTCTCAAACTATTCGCGATATCACTCTCTTCAGCGTGTTACCCTACTGCCTGGAAAACTACACATATCATTCCCAAAATTAAAACAGGACCTGAAGCAAACGTTGAAAATTACCGGCCTATAAACATAACTTCAGTGGTATCCAGAGTGATGGAAAAAGTAGTTAAGGCGGCTGTAGTCCAACATCTACTAACTAATAATCTCATCTCGACCTCCCAGCATGGATTTCTTAGGTCCAGATCATGCGATACATGCCTAGTAGACTACCTGAATGATATAACTCTGAAACGAGACAGCGGACTCCTTGTATCAGTCCTATTCCTAGACTTTAAGAAAGCCTTTGATAAGGTCCCACACAAAAGGCTACTCGTCAAACTAAAGTCCTTCGGAATACACAACCCACTGTACTCATGGTTTGCTTCGTTCTTAACAGAACGTAAACAGATGGTAAAGTACAATGACTGTCTCTCGTCCCCTAGACCAATCACCAGTGGAGTCATCCAGGGAAGCGTATTAGGTCCACTTTTGTTTCTTATGTATATAAACGATATATGTAACACCATAGAATTTGGGAAACCATACTTATATGCTGATGATCTCAAAATAGTATACAGCTATAAGCCTGAGACACTAAGCGAAAGTGTATCCCAGATCCAAAAGGACCTCAATAACTTAACTATATGGAGTGAAAAATGGCAATTACCATTTAACCTCAACAAGTGCGGGATCATGCACTTTGGAAAGCATCCCTATAAACCGCGACTTCACTTAAATGAATGTAGAGTCCAAACACTCGAATCAGTACACGATTTAGGAATTAATTACACAGGAAGCCTAAACTTTGAAGAACATGCCTCCTATATTATTTCTAAATCTAGACGGCTAATTGGTTTTATAATGAAAAACTTTTTCACAACAGAGGGTAAACTTACTCTCTACAAAATATGTGTACGACCCTCCCTTGAATACTGCTCTTTTGTCTTCTCTAATATGAATATCGCAGACAAGATAAGAGTAGAAGATGTTCAAAGACGTTTCACACGTCAACTACTAGGATGTAACTCGAATCTCGATTACACAGACAGATGTAAGCATCTATCTTTAGAACCTTTATGGCACCGTAGGCTAAAAAACAATTTAATATTTCTCTACAAAGCGATATATGGGCTCTCCTTTCTAACCTCCTGCCCGACTATCACCCACGACCCAGCCTATAGACTTAGAAACAACGCATATACACTACTTACCGTAAAACACCAAAAACAAATGCGTTGTAAGTTTTTTACAGTACGGTACAGTTTATTGTGGAACAGGCTGCCAATGCCTATCCGTAACTGTGATACGTTTACCAGATTCAAAAAGCTAATAACCCTATTTCTAGACTCCAAAGAGCTTCAACATTTCCTTGAACTCCCGCCCACCAATGAGGCACTTTATTACGGACCGCCTAGTATCTAGAAAGAACAAAATTATAACAAGTTCGACTGTTACTAATATGAATATAACCAAATCACAGAATATATGGCTTATCCTTTCCTATTATTCATTGTTTA